CCGCAGTTTCACCTCTCGAGCTGCTATTTTTTGACACACGCGATCTTTGAAATAAAGTGCTCAACAACGGGGTGCTAACGAAAAAAACCTTTGCACCCTCGAATCCAGGCATATTGGAACAGAGAGAGATACTGGAATTGCAATCAAAATCCTGCAGACATTCGTTCAATACTCGACGACTCTTCAAGGGCGCGACACACAAGTCAATCAAAGCCGCAAAAGCAGGCGGATTGTGTTCACAACAGAGCCCCGATCTCACGGATCGGTGTTCCATCCTCAAAGTTTTTCAGAGCTTTGACGAGCTGCGTAAAGCTTGGACGTAGTTCTGGGATGGAGTTCCAGCAACTAAACATCAAGCTAAACAGGTCAGTTGAGCAGTGCTCCGGCCTGGGTAGTCGACCACCAGCCTCCAGATGAGCCAGTGCCTCAGCGCCATTCATCTTGCCGTACGGCATTGCGCCGTAACTAGAGCATTCCCCTACCAACGTGCACAATAAAAAGTCAAATCTCGACGCAAGAGCAAGTATCAGCGGAAAATGACGCGACTTACAGGCAGTCACACCAAACGACCACACATCCGACATGGACGAGAACTTGCGGAAGGTCATTGTTTCCGGTGCCATCCACTACAATCACCAACACACTCAGAATCACATACTACCAGCAGTGGAGCCATCTGACTCAACCCACCTTCACGGGAAGTTTTCCTCGCGTTTGCATGCGATAGTAATCTTGCTCATCCGTCAATTCGCGGGAAAGCCCGAAATCGGCAATCTTGACCACCATTCCTTGCCCCACAAGGCAGTTGCGCGCGGCAAGATCTCGGTGCACAAAGTTAAGCGTGCCCAGATACTCCATGCCGAGAGCAATCTGGCGAATGGCATGCACCTGCTCGTTGTGCGTCCACCAAAGCGAATACAGCTTGGACTTTTGCAGCAGCGTGCGCAAATCGCCGTACTGCACAAACTCTAGCAGAACGAGATGGGGCTCTGACTCGACCAGAGCCGCAAGCAACCGCACGACATTCGGATGCACAAACGGCGCCATCAATCTCGCCTCAGCCTCAAAGTCTTGGCGAGATTTCTCGTCAGCGTCGGCCTTGGAAGACTTGACTGCAACCAGCACGGTTGGCGACGCTGTAGGTCCGAGCAAGGTTTGAGCTCTTGTGGGCAACACGTTGAAAGGCACTTGACCCAGTGACACATCGCCAAATTCACCACTGGCAAGGTGCTTCCCAATGGTCAAGCCTTCGCGAACGCGACGAGAATTGCTGCCGGCAACATACGCGCTCGTATCATCGTCAACCACCTCCTCTGGCGGGGCGGTCGGGACAGCTTGATACGACTGTTGTTGAGCGACCGCCGCATGGGATGGAATGTCCGCTTTGTCGTGTGCTCCAGCCGAATGGTTTTGAGGGGAAGTTGTCACTTCATCAGCCTCCTGGTAGATGGGACTGGCAGCGTTCTGCGATTCTGGCTGCAGCTTTTGGCTGGGCTTGGAGGAGGTTGAGCCGTCATCCTCGATGCGAGATTCACTCGAATGGGCCAGAGGAGACATTGTCATTTCAATTGTCGTCTGATCGATGACGGGACCGGCAGAGTCCTTCGGTCGTATGACAGAGCGTTGCGAGCGCCGGCGCCGCAACACGATAAAGACCACTGCAATGAGCGCAATGACTGCCACGGACGCAACGACAGCAGCGATGACAGCCGCCGACGAGGATGAGTCTTGGGATCCAGCGCCGAACTGTGCAATGGAAGATGCAACAGAAGCAGCAGATGCCGATGCGGTTGACGCGGCAGAGGCTGAGAGGGCAGAAGCAGCAGAAGCAGCAGAGGCTACAGATGCGGACGCCCGAGAGGCTGAAGATGCAGCAGCAACGACGGAAGCCAACGATGCGGTCGCGGAAACATCAGACGCAATGGATGCTGACGACGCGCTTGCAGCAGATGCAATTGACGCTGACGATGCAGCTTGTGTAGACGCAACTGAAGCGGCAGAGGCTTTGGATGCTTGTGTCGCAGCCGACGCAACTGAAGCGGCGGAGGCTTTGGATGCTTGTGTCGCTGCTGACGCAACAGAGGCGGCGGAGGCTTTGGATGCTTGTGTCGCAGCTGACGCAGCCGACGTACCAGATGCAACCGAGGCAGATTGCGTCGACGCAACAGAGGCGTCGGAGGCTTTAGAAGCTTGCGTCGCTACTGACGCAACATATGCAATCGAGGCTGACGATGCAGCTTGTGTAGACGCAACTGAAGCGTCGGAGGCTTTAGATGCTTGTGTCGCTACTGACGCAACATATGCAATCGAGGCTGACGATGCAGCTTGTGTAGACGCAACTGAAGCGGCGGAGGCTTTGGATGCTTGTGTCGCTGCTGACGCAGCTGACGCAACAGATGCAACCGAAGCAGATCGCGTCGATGCAACTGAAGCGGCGGAGGCTTTGGATGCTTGTGTCGCAGCTGACGCAGCTGATGCAATCGAGGCAGACGATGCAGTGACGACGGACGCAAGGGACGCCGAGATCGCCGAGGTCGCGGAAACATCAGATGCGATAGATGCTGATGACGCGCTTACAGCAGATACAATCGAGGCAGACGATGCAGTAGCGATGGAAGCAAAGGACGCAGAGATCGCCGAGGCCGCGGAAACGTCAGACGCAATGGATGCGGATGACGCGCTTACAGCAGAGCCGATCGAAGCTGACGATGCAGCTTGTGTAGACGCAACTGAAGCGGCAGAGGCTTTGGATGCTTGTGTCGCAGCCGACGCAACTGAAGCGGCGGAGGCTTTGGATGCTTGTGTCGCTGCTGACGCAACAGAGGCGGCGGAGGCTTTGGATGCTTGTGTCGCAGCTGACGCAGCCGACGTACCAGAGGCTTTGGATGCTTGTGTCGCAGCTGACGCAGCCGACGTAACTAGATGCAACCGAGGCAGATTGCGTCGACGCAACAGAGGCGTCCGAAGGCTTTAGAAGCTTGCGTCGCTACTGACGCAACATATGCAATCGAGGCTGACGATGCAGCTTGTGTAGACGCAACTGAAGCGTCGGAGGCTTTAGATGCTTGTGTCGCTACTGACGCAACATATGCAATCGAGGCTGACGATGCAGCTTGTGTAGACGCAACTGAAGCGGCGGAGGCTTTGGATGCTTGTGTCGCTGCTGACGCAGCTGACGCAACAGATGCAACCGAAGCAGATCGCGTCGATGCAACTGAAGCGGCGGAGGCTTTGGATGCTTGTGTCGCAGCTGACGCAGCTGATGCAATCGAGGCAGACGATGCAGTGACGACGGACGCAAGGGACGCCGAGATCGCCGAGGTCGCGGAAACATCAGATGCGATAGATGCTGATGACGCGCTTACAGCAGATACAATCGAGGCAGACGATGCAGTAGCGATGGAAGCAAAGGACGCAGAGATCGCCGAGGCCGCGGAAACGTCAGACGCAATGGATGCGGATGACGCGCTTACAGCAGAGCCGATCGAAGCTGACGATGCAGCTTGTGTAGACGCAACTGAAGCGCCGGAGGCTTTGGATGCTTCTGTCGCAGCTGACGCAGCAGATGCAATGGACGCGGACGATGCAGCAGTAATGGAAGCAACAGACGCCGACAGAGCAGATGTGGCGGAAACAAGAGACGCAATTGAGGCAGAGGCGGTTGAGGCAATGGACGCTGAGGATGCGGTAGCAAGTGACGCAAAAGATGTTGAGAGCGCCGAGGCAGCCGAAGCAGATTGCATGGACGCAACTGATCCGATGGAAGCAAGAGGAACGCAGGATCCACTCATCATGTCGTAGCCTTCATAACACTGAGTGCACACTGCGGACGAGCTGCAAAACAAACAATTGGTTCCGCAACACGAGGCGCTCCCTGAGGCATAGCAAGTGGCACACGCTATATCGCACTCTGCAGCACAAATGTCAGTGAAACGATCACTTGAGATTATACACCAGTCAGCTCGAACGCTTACTGTAGGGCTGGGATGCGCTGCCGTATGTGCTAGGCGGAGCAACAGTGTTACCGCCAAAGGTAAAGTTGTTGGGGCTCAGTTCGGACCGGTACCAATACCCCAAATACAAAAGCTTTGGCAAGCCCTTGAACAGACCAGGCGGCAAAGTGGTGAAGGGATTGTCATCCAAATACCTACGAGAACCGCAAACTCATGTAAGAGGCAAATAGCACATATGCGTTGCGAGTTCTCGCTTACAGTTGAGTCAGCTTCGTCAGGCCTGTGAATGCGTTTGCGGAAATACCGGCAATGTTGTTTTGATTTAGATACCTGCGGATGGAGTCGCAAATGAGTGAGCTGCTGTGCGTGATTCTTCAGGACTTTTGCTGCTTACAGTGAAGTCAGCGCGTTTAGACCTGTGAATGCGTTGGCGGCAATGCTGGTGATCTGGTTACTGTTAAGGGACCTGCAAATTGTGAAGTAAAGGAGTAAGTCGTTTGCGCGTGCTTTTTCATGACTACTCATGACTACTGCGCATGTGTACAATAACTGCAGCGCGCTCAAGCCTGTGAATGCTTCGGCGGAAATGCTTGTGATCTGGTTGTTGTCCAGGGGTCTGTCAAGTGGATCGCAAACCATTGAGTTACTTCAGCTTGGTTCTTCATGACTTTGCTTCCTTACAGGTGGGTCAGCGCAGTCAGGCCTGCGAATGCGGCTGCAGCAATGCTTGTGATCTGGTTGTTATTCAGAGATCTATAGAGAGTTTCGCATAAATGAGTCATTGTGCGATATTCTTCATGACTTTGCTTGCTTACAGGTACTGCAATGCAGTCAGGCCAGCGAGTGCGTTTGCAGAAATGCTGGGGAGTTCATTGTAACTCAGATACCTGAAGATGCGGTCACCAAAGAGTGAGTGGTTTGGGCGTCATTTTTCATGATCTGCCGTGCTTACAACACGGTCAGGGCTGTCAGGCCGGTGAATGCGTTTGCGGAAATGCGAGTGATCCTGTTGTTATTCAGAGATCTACAGAGAGTTTCGCATAAATGAGTCATTGTGCGTGATTCTTCATGACTTTGCTTGCTTACAGGTACTGCAATGCAGTCAGACCGGTGAGTGCGTCTGCAGAAATGCTTGAGAGTTGGTTTTGAACCAGAACCCTGAAGATGCGGTCGCCAATCCGTGAGCGGTTTGTATGCCATTCTTCATGATCGGTCGT